TAAATTAGTGCTTGCAGAAGATACATCAAATATTGATATGTCTTCTGATGGATTACGTGAACAAAACAAAAAAAGACGACGTATTAAAGCAAAAAAATAACTGTCACATCGTCTTCAGAGGAAGATGTATGTTCAAACGAGGATGAAGACAATGATGTGAGGTCAAATAAAATCCTGCCTGATTATCCACAAATTGGAAACTTTGTATCATCTCACAAACAGCATATTGATAAATCACATAATTCTACAAGTTCATTAAGCAAAAAAACTTCTTATGTATTGAGCAGTAATGGTGAATATATCAATTTAGGACTATACATAATGTTTAAATTAAATCAAAAATTATAATTATAATTTTTTTACTTTTTAGTTGAAAATATTAACACTCAAATTTCCAAAAATAACAAAGAAAGAAATTTTACACTAAATCTTAATGGCGATAGCGACACTGAAAATATTTATACGCGAGGTAAGTTTTACTAAAATACTCCTGAATTTTAAATGTTTTATAGTAATATATGTATTACAAAACAAAATTATTATATGATTAAATATTATTATATGATATAAATTTATTATATGATTTTTATATAATTATATGATTTTATATAATTATATGATTTTTATATAATTATATAATTTTATATAATTATATGATTTTTATATAATTATATGATTTTATATAATTATATGATTTTTATATAATTGTAATAAATTTATTATATGATTTTTAATACTAAATAGTAGTATTTATTGTTATCATTAATATACTATAATTATATATTTTGCCAGAATATAAGAAGTTAGTATTAGGAAAACTGAATAAAATTATATATAAAATTAATACTCTTGAAAATAAAATCGATATATTGGAGGGAAAAATGCAATCAGCCAATTCTTTTAATGAAGAAAATAATATTCAATTGCCTATATCTACGTTCCAAGAATTAACAGATTTTGAAGAACAATTACAGGAAGTACATTTCAAGAATGAAGTGGTATTATATACTAATTTTTATTATTTTATTAGAATACTTTTATACTTAAAATTTAAATAAAGATACATATGTAATTATATGTACTAAAAACATTAATGTTTTTAATATTTTCTTTAATTCTTGTTTCTTATTTTTCTGTTTTTATTTTTTGGATTTAAGTTTATTTATGTCTATGCGGCACATTAATAGTAATGTTTAGTATAATAGTAAGTAATTTTCTAAAAACACTTTAGAAGAAAATTTATATTGTTGATCTTATATTATATTTTAATAAATTATATAAATTACTAGTAGTTTACTAATACTTTA